TTTCATGGTCTCTGTGTATATAATGTCTTCTGCAGTTTCCACTGAATGCATCCGATGAAGGGAGCTGTAGCTCACGAAAGCTCATTCTCAAATAAATTGGTTAGTCTCTAAGGTGCCACAAGGACTCCTTTTCGTTTTGCGAATACAGACTAACACGGCTGCTACTCTGAAACTAGTGGCTTCTCTAGTCTAATTTTAAATGCCCCAAGCAATGGGGCTACCACTGGGTCTTTTTGGGAGGCTATTCTACAGATCACACAATTGAGATAATCAAACAAATGGTTTATCTTTGCTGGATTCAAACTTGCCAAAGAAGAGCATAGTCTCCTGAAATACTTGTTTTCCAAAGCCTACCGAAAGAGAAAAGAGGAATTGTTATTTGATACAGAATTTGCCAGATGTCTTTTAACGAAGCAGGGGAATCCTTAAGCCTTTGTTTACAAAATCCTCTCCCCTTCTCTCATCCATGCTTAAATTACCAATCACTACTACTACACCCACCCCCACATCCCCGTTTAGGGTAAAACTTTAACAGAGACTGTATTTCCAAAATTGGAGCCAACAAAAAAACAAACATTTTAATTCCTTTTATGGAGCCATGCAGCATGGGGAAAGGGAATTGTTAGGAGCACAGAGCTAACAGAGGCACATGCCTCCATGCAGTTGGCTATGGCTTCCTTGTTCCCCAATGATCAGATCTACACGGGTTATAGTTAGGCCTCCTACATCATTCCATGGTGGGCTGGGAGGAGGACTCTCCTTTCTGTAGAACAATAGAGGAGAAACTCTGAAAAGGAATCTTCAGAGCCTTTTCCTCCCCTTTGTCCCCTCTCCCATGGGTTTTACTGCAGGAGGGGTAATCTGGCTCCTGGTGATTTGATTTATGAAAGTCCTTACCTGAAACAGAGGCCTCCAGAATACTATGATCCTACTAGGGAGACAAACATATGATCAAGAAGCAAAATTTGATACAGATAAAAGAATAGTAGGGGCGAGGAAAAGACAGGCAGACAATTACTGCAACCTGTAAAATAATAGATAGTGCCTTTTCAGTAAACCATTACAAAAATATCACTCTTGTCTCAGTGATGGGCCATACTGACAGAACTTGATTAGATCTGCAATTGGTGGGTCTTTTTTTGCCCTTGAAGTCATTAAGCTGATTTCCCTTGGGGGACCAGAAAGCAACATTTTAAATAATCCTCTCCTGCTAGGTCAACTCTCTGGTGGGAATGAGGACCCATTTTCTTAATTACATGTTCGCTAATATGTTTAGTGGTCTCCTCCTTCTCTTCCCTCACCTCAGTCATCTGGGAGATTGTAGTAATTTATTGTAAAGCCGTAGAGATTTATTTAAAGACCACACAGTCAGCTTGGAGCGCAGAGCCATGCAGTGTCCACTGTTTAATACTTTGTGAAATTGTTTATGTGCTATATTGCTTGCCTACATAGAAGTGCCTTTTGAAACTCCTGTGAATAGATACAGAAACAGATTTTGAATTGAACAATAATTAGAAACGTGTGGAGCAATGCAGTGCATTAGAAAACAAGAAAGAACTCCTGTTCTGATGTGGAAACACTACTGTCAGAGAGAGATTTCAGCGGCACATACAATTCTCTCACACAGACTATAATGAAATAACATTACCTGTCTGGCTTACACCTACCAAAGTCAGGATGTCTGGAGTGAAGGCTGAAATTCTGTTCTTGACTCCCCCTAATATAGCTTGGCATTTACAACCCTTAATGTCTGAGAGATCCTGGTTATGATGCACAACAGCTAGAGGGTCAAAACCTTCACTATACTTTGGAACAATAGGTTGAGCGATTATGAATGGAGTTTCAGACATAACTCTACTGTGTGTGTGTATTAAATTTGATTCTCTCAATTTTTAAGTACACAAAGTCTTTCATGACATATACATGATTTAAGACATTTTATCTCTTTTGGATCTACTGTCTAAGGGGCAGCCTTGATGTGAGGGATTGTGATGCTATCAGGCCAGTTATTGACTTTTAGAAGTGCTGGGGCCAAGCCCTGCTTATCTGGTTCACACATGTAGTCCCAATGATTTAAAAGATAACTGAGGACACTCAACATCCCACACAAGGGACTGAGGATCTTGAAGAATCAAATGCTAAATCTGTATTTCTGGCTCACTCTACTCACGCAAGTACAACAGGGTTGTTCAGGCTTTGGCCTCTGGATTTTTAAATGTCATTTATTGATATATGCAGTGTTGTTACAGCCATGTTGGTCCCAGGATATTAGAGAGCCAAGGTGGGTGAGGTAAATTATCTTTTATTGGACCAACGTCTGTTGGTGAGAGAGAAACAAGCTCTCAAGCTGACAGAGCTCTTCTTCAGGTCTGGGAGTAGTCACAAGGTGGAACAGATTGTTTAGTATAAGTAGTTAACACATATTTCCAAGGACTGTTTGAAGGGAAGTGGCCTGTTAACACCTCTTCAGTCATAGGGTGGAAAGTGGGGAGCAAGTGGGTTATAGATTGTTGTAATAAACCATGAATCCAGTGTCTGTATTCAGTCCATGGTTTTAGTAACTAGAAAAATTATGAATTTAAACTCCCAGGCTCATCTTTTGAAGATGTTGTGCAGGTTTCCTTTGAGGAGGACTGAGAGGTCAGACAGAGTTGATAGCTTTGGGAAAAGTGTTCGTCCACAGGTGATAGAGTGTTTTTGTCTGTCATTTAAAAATACACATAGCAACTCCTGAAGCCACTTGTTGTTCAGCTGCAGCAGAGGTATGGTAACGCCCCAGTTTTAACAACAAATTCACCTGTGACTGTGCTGTCTCAAGCAGCAATCTCATAGAAATCTTACATGCTAGGACTTTGAGGAGAATCCTCCCAGGAAAGCCTGTGGTGGTGCAGGAAGTGGGACTGATAAGCCAGAAGGTGGCACTCTTCTCTCTGAACCTGTTTCCCAGCATGCTGACAGGGAGATGTATTGCTAAAGATGTTGTCTTTAGGATGAGATGTAAATATATCTAGCTCTTCTATAGCACTTTTCATCAGTAGATCTCAAAGCACTTTACAAAAGAGGGCAGTAAAACTGGAATATGAGATCTGAAATACACTGGTGGCCATTAAAGATCCCATGGTGCTTATTGCAAAACTAGGGGCATTTACTCTGGTGTTGGCTAAATTCCTACTTCTTTATTTCCATAGTGGCTATTGCAAGGGCAGGTGGGTGTTTCAGGGGCAAAGGTACATACATAATGTCTGCATTCAGGAAAACAATTAAGAATAAAACAAAAACACTATTCTAAACCAAGTAGATGCGAACAATTGTCCATGAAAAAGTTTTGCAAAAAATTGACCAGTTCTGCTCCCGATTTACACTGGTGTAGTTAAGAGGAGAATAAGGTCTATTGTTTAAACAAAATATAGACGTGAAAATAAATCCCCCCCCCCCCAGACAGAAACAAAACCAAACTACAGTGGGTCCAACTTAGGCAGCCAGGTCACATCAGAAATGCCCATTGACTTCAGTGGGAGTTAGTTGCTTGCAGTGTGAAAGCAGCTGCATAATCAGGCCTGTGGAGTTCATTTGGTCAGGCCCAGGGGGCTACAGTGGGGTGGGGATTCAGTAAGCACCAACAATGAATTCTTTTCATTTTTTCAAGTTAAGGTCTGAGTAGAGGAAATGCCAAGTATCCCCCCACCCCACCCCACCCCCTATTCATTGTCTGTTGGGGGGAGAAGAGGTAGTAAAGGACCAAGGTTAACTTGACACCTGTATCTGTGACAGCTCAAGCAAGGGAAATAGAAGGAAAGACTCTCCTGGTAGTCATTTGAAATGATACCCCCTTCCTGACTTGGAAGCTTTGACTGATGTTTTAAGCTTTGTGCAGCCATATGGTTGAACATCTTGAAGGGGCAGCAAAGAGGTGCCGGTGCCAGAACTGGAAATAGAAACCAAGTCATTATTGGAAACCAGATCTCTGACAGACTGAAGCCAGGGGAAGGCTACTTTCTTCTTATTTTTGTTTAATGTTTCAGTGTCTTCCCTTTTTATGTTCAGGACCCAGAGAAACACTGGGAAAGAAGTTCCTCCTCACAGTTAGAAACAGTCCTTGCTGAACAGTGGTTAAAAAGGAATCATTTACGTGATACACTGGACTGCAAGGTGTGGTCTACAAGGAGGGCTGCTAGTAACACAAGTGGGGAATCAAGACTCCAACACTTTTTGGGACTTTCCTCCTCCCCCACTTTCATTCTCTAGAAGAGAAAATTTGGCTGTGTCATAAATTGGGGCATTGTTCACTCCCCATAAGAGAGAATTTAATACTAGAAATATGTCTGTAATGTAAGCTTTCCCTGGAATTCAAACACCAGGAGAGCAGACAGTCTTATTTAGGCTTCTGTTGGTGTAGCCCAACAATTAACAAATGCCCATCAAGATAAGAATTCTAATGACCACAATGGAGTCCCTCTTCTCCTTTCATTACATTTGTTTCCAGCAGGGAAGAGTTTATAAACGAGTGGCTATGCTAGTAGCCTTGAATTCAGCTCCCTCGGCGGCTATGTGGAGGAGATCCAGGGACAGAGCGACACTTCTCTTCAATAAACTCCTTGCACCACATTAAAGATAAAAGGGGAAGGAAAATATTTATATTCTGACAAAGGAGCTCTTCCCTTCAGGCTCTTGTTTTATTTATTAGCTAACTCTGTCCCTTTTTTGCAGTTTTTCTGTTTGTCTATATACCTTCCCTCTCCTTTATTCACTGATTTTGTCCCTGAGTGACAGTGAAATTGAAAGTCTAGAATTGTTGTCAAAGAGATCGGATTCAGATTGTGTGTGTAATGCCCAGTACATAAAAACATCTCTTCCACCCCACCTTTGTTTTTAACATAAAACTTTGATTTTTAGCATTTAAACAGAATATATTACATCTGGTTTACTCCAATTGCTTCAGATGAAGCTGTAGAATTATTTTTTTATTTATTTTTTTTTTAAGAGCACAGTGTCCCACAGATGCCTGAATATCCTCCCACATCTGTAAAGGCAGTAAGTAACTACCATCAGTCTTCTTTGTGGAAGCCCTTGCTGAGGCATGACACAGCTACTTTGAGACCTCTGTATCCTCATTCATCAAACACTTCCTTTCTTCTGAGGAACTGTCCCTGAGGATCATTCATTTCCTCCAACTAATATGCCCAGGTGAAAGGAATCTTGAGAACATTTGTGTGTTTGGATCCAGCTCCTCATACTTAAAGATTAAATAAGATAAGTCAGATATAAAGAAATATATGGCATTATCTGTTTGTTCTACCTATTCACATTCTCTTTAATATTGTACAGAATTGTGTGCAATTCATCTGGTTAAAATGTACCCAGTAGCATGTTGATAGACAGTGTCCTTTATCACTATTACCTTCACCAATATTTACAGTTCTAATATTGACCATTTCTCCATCACCCATCCTGGTAACATTTGGGTTCTTGACTATATTAAAAATTTCACACACAAATTAAAGAGAGACTACTGCGAATGTAGCCCCTCTTACCTTACCAGTGCATTTCTGTTCCTCATAGAATTGCAAAATGTCGGGGGGGGAGGGAAGACAAGCTCTCGTGCTGGAATTTTTAAGTATATTCAATACAAACTGATGAACAAATGAAATTAAACTGGAAAGTGGATTGATCTCACTTCATCAGTCACCCTCCCAAACAAAAAAGCTGCTGTTCCGTTTCCACAGTCTGATCTGGAACCCAAACCAATATTTTTAATTGATTTTTCTCCCTCCTAAATCAATTAATGAAGCCTACCTAGGGAAATGTATGCTTCTCTTTTGGTTGGTTAATCCTCTTACTTTATCTTCACAAATAATGGTCCTGTAAATCATTTGTAAATGGTTTACAGAGGTGTCACCCAGACAGATCCCACTGACCTCTGTGGAACTGAGGCTGTTCAGCGTGTCTGAAAATCAGGCCCTAAACAAACAGAAATGTGTCCTCCTTCCACTGCAATGCACATTTCAAAACATGAATGTAATGGGGCGCAGACTCACCCAGCAGCACCTCCTGCTGCTTTTCCTCAGGGAATTAGCATCCAGCCTCCAGAGGGCCTCCTTCAGGAGGGTGTCTCGCCACCCCTGGCCCGCCGTGTCTCTCCGAGACCTTGGTACCCTTGTCTTGGTGCTGCCCCCTGGCAGTGCCCCCACAGTTCTGGGTCTCTCCCTCTCAGGGGAACCCCCACCCGCTATCCCCACCTCCCCTCAGTCTTAGGCTACTGCCAGTCACCAACTAGCCCCTACAGACTACAGTATAAGCCACGCATCACAGGCGAGGGGGTTTGGACCTGCTGCCTCTGCCTACCCATGGCTGCTCCTGCAACCCCTGTACCTAATAGGCCTTCCCAGGCCTGCAGCCTGGGGCTTTCCTAGGCCTGAGCTCCCCGGCTCCCTTGGCCTTCCCCAGCCTTGCTCCCAATCTAGATACTGTCTCAGCCCTTGCAGCCCGGTCCCTCTCTCTCTCCAAGCTAGAGAGAGATTCTCTACTTGAACTTCTGGCTCAAAGCCTTTCTAGAGCCAGCTGGCCCTGGTTGGGGCATGGCCCCCAGCTGCCACCACTTCCCCCAATAAGCCAGGGTTTTGCTCCCTTCCCCAGCAGGACTTTTCCAACCCCTTCAGGGCTGGAGCGGGTGCTCACCCCGCTACACCCCCCACTCAAAACTCCTACCCCTGGGGTTCAGGAGGAGTCTTGGCCTGGGCTCCCCGAGGCTACCCCTCCAAAGTCACCTTTCTAGGCCCACCCGCTTCTTCTCCGCGGCCTCCCAGCCCATCTCCCGGACTTGGGCTTCAGCCTTCCTGTGGGTCAGCTCCGCGGCCTCTAACCGTGCCTATAGGTCCTGGTCCTCCAGGCCCTCTTCCCTTAGGATTTGGGTTCCCACAGCCACCTTTTCTACCCTGACCTGGATCCCAGCCTCCTGCTGGGCCCAGTCCATCCGGGTTTCATCCTCAGTGACTGCCCCGTGATGGTCTGGGTTCCCTCGATCCTGGTCGCCACCTCTTCCAGTCTTGGCCTTTCCAGGCACCTCTCCCAGCCTCTCCTCAGTTCCCCTGAGGGGGAAGTGCCTCCTTATGTGGCCCCGTTCCCAGCAGGTTCCCTGCCTCTGTGCTGTCTTGGGCCTTTCTTGGTCGCTCAGGCCTGCCCACCACATGGGGCCCTTCTGCTCGCAGGCCCAACAGGTTGGCAGCTGCCCAGGTTTCTGCACCTGGTGGCCTGCCCGTGACACTTCTCCTTGTTCTGGTTGGGGCTGCGGCACCCTGCCCCTATCCCCATAGGGACAGTCCCATTTCAAATGCCCCGTTCATCTACAGGCCTGATGCTCAGCCCCTCACGCAATGTTCTCCGGTTCCTTGCGAGCCCCTCTCTGAGGCGTTGTATCAGGACCCGCTACTCCCTAGCCAGCTGCTCCATCCTATCGTGGAGGGCCCTCTTCCCCTTCCACAGTCACTCATGGGCCTCCCAGAGTCCCTTTAGGTCTTCTGCCCCCTTCCATTGAGGCACCAACACTGGGGCCCAGCCTGGGATGGCACCTGGGGTCTCTGCCTAATAAACCCCCACATACCCAGGATCTATCATCCCCTTTGTCCACCTTCTAGTCCCTGGGCAATCATCCTGCTGTCCTCACTCTGCCCCTTGTATCAGGGGCAGGCCGCTCATGCCCGCATTCTCCACCACTTGTCACAGGGCGCAGACTCACCTGGCAGCACCTCCTGCTGGTTTTCTTGGGGAATTAGCATCCAGTCTCCAGAGTGCCTCCTTCAGGCCAGTGTCTCACCACTCCTGGTCCCGAGTGCCCTTGTCTTGGGTACTGCCCCCTGGCAGTGCCCCCACAGTTCTGGGTCTTCCCCTCCCAGGGGAACCCTCACCCACTATCCCCACCTCACCTCAGTCTTAGGCTACTGCCAGTCACCAACTAGCCCCCACTCCCTGCAGCAGACTGCAGTGTAAGCCACTCATCACAGGCAAGGGGGTTATCCTGGCTGCCTCTGCCTACCCATGGCTGCCCCTGCAACCCCTGTACCTAATAGGCCTTCCTAGGCCTGAGCTCACTGGCTCCCTTGGCTTTCCCCAGCCCTGCTCCCAATCTAGGTACTTTCTCAGCCCTTGTAGCCAGATCCCCCTCTCTCTCTCCAAGCTAGAGAGAGCATCTAGTAGAACTTCTGTCTCAAAGCCTTTATAGAGCCAACTGGGCCCTGATTGGGGCACGGCCCCCAGCTGCCACCATTTCCCCCAGTCAGCTGGGGTTTTGCTCCCTTCCCTAGCCCCAGCTCTCTGCAGGGCTTTTCCAATATGACCTTCTGGGCTGGAGAGGGTGCTCACCCTGCTACAATGAAATACAAAGATATCTTCCCCTACAGGATAATTTGTGAGTTGACAAAGGTTGTGCTGCTACTTGCCAGGATTTGATAAAGCCTAAAAACTGTAGTATCCATTGGTGGCGTGAGAACTTAACTGTGCTAAGTACTGGCCATCTATGCAAGCCTACTGCCCTCACTCCTGGGTGATTATGGAGGTAGTAGTAGGAAAACTCAGAGCTTGTCTATATTGGAATTTTTTGCCTGGTGTAGCTACACTGATGCAAACCCTTAGTGTAGCTGACCAGCAGCTATGTAAAATTGGACTTACTCTGGCCTGAGGGGCCAGGCATCTACATGGGAAGTGTTTGTGGCTACACTGGTGCAGCTATACTTGTGCAAAAATCTCTTCTAGAGACGAGTCCTTAGTGCACCCTGTAAACTTTCTTCATTGTCAGTGTCTCCCTGCCAATCTGACTCTGAAATGTTCCTCCCACTTTTCAGACTTGCACAATAGCTTTCTTTTCTTGATGCATACAGGCAGCCTATCACTTTTCCCAAGTGGTGTTCAGTTTTACTGCAATTTTAAGAATACCGGTAGGAGTACATTATAGATCAGACCGATTTGAGCCTAAAGTGAGCAAGAAGAGTGTAACAGCTGATTTATATTTTGAAATGCTTTTATCCCAGTCAGTTAAGTCAGAGAAAGTCTAAAGAGCCTGCTTTAGCAGAGCCTCCCTTAGTATTTTTAGGCAGGCCTGTGAAACAGTTTTTTACAGTTCCCTGTGCAAATGTCACCAACTCCTGTCCATTCATAATCACACTTTCATGCACATAGGATGGGCTTGAGGATGCTGTAGGTGGTGAGTAAGGTGATTATTAAGGCACACTCATACTTGCAGGGAACATTGTGAACTTATTTTTTTTTTAAACTGTTCACTTTTTACAGATCCTGATTTCTGATAGTTTACCCTTTAAATTCTAGTCCCGAGGGTTGTGTGTGTGTGTTTGGGTTTTTTTTAATTTTGAAATTCTGTTTAAGAGAAATTTTATAAGGGTTTTTTCTGTTTCTTTGCAGCTTACAGGACCTTTCAGCAAGAGGGAGGGAGCCTGTGAGCCACCCCAGCACATGTGTTTGGGCATGCCTTTCTCCCACCCAGCGTGCACTCTAGTGGCCTGCCTCTTCCGTAGCAGCAGCAGCATAACTGAGGTACGGCCTCTCAGCCTCTAACCTCCTCCCTGGGACCTGAAGAGGGATCCTTAGTGAATGAAGAACTCACTCCTTCCTGCAGCTAGAGTCTGAGGAGTGAAGAACAGGGCTCCCATGGGTTCCCCATCCAGCTCTCATTACAGCCTGGCTCCATCCAGGAGCACGGGAAGGGAGAGCAGTTTTCACCAGCCCCATGTAGAGGTTTGTGGAATGAAGTGTTTTCCTCTCTCTTCTCCCCACCCCACAGTTCCAGGCAGGGGCCTTGTTGGAGGTGATACCCACCAGCTGCTGTTGCTCCTCAGCTTCATAGAGGGACTTTTAAGGAAAAGTTGACCCTTCCGGATCCCAAATTGAGGCTGCTGCAGCTCTGCTGCTGTGTTCCTGGAAAATGCCCTCCTCAGGGCCTGGGGGGAATATGTGTGAATGAGCAGCCCCTTGAGCTGTGTGTGAGGAGGAGGCAACTGACTCTACAGTAAGCAACCTATAGTAGGTAAAAATGTTCATACAGAAATGTGTTCAGTGTCCCTTTAGCTGACTCATTTTCTAGCAGTGGAGCCTGTGTTTATGGGGTGTCTGTGATATTCTCTACCTTGGGGGAGCGTACTGTAACCCCGATATTCCTCGTTTTCATGTAATCCTGATCTTACATATAAAGCATGGCTTGTAAGGTATCAGGGGAAAGGTTATTATCTGCTGAAAGTCATTTCTCTATCCATATATGTGTATCATTAATGCATATGAAATTAAGAGAATTATGTTGTATGGTGGTCACTAAAACATGCTGTAAATTGGGGAAAACGGCCAGATATTAGCTCCCCAGAGGGGGAGGGATACCTCAGTGGTTTGAACATTGGCCTGCTAAACCCAGGGTTGTGAGTTCAATCCTGGAGGGGGCCATTTAGGGATGTGAAGCAAAAATTGGGGATTGGTCCTGCTTTGAGCATGGGGTTGGACTAGATGACCTCCTGAGGTCCCTTCCAACCCTGAGATTCTATGATTCTATGATAACAGCAAGGAAAGTAACCAGCGCCCAGGCAGGGTGTCCCAAATATCCCATCAACAGCCCTTGTCCAGCAAGGGAGCTACAATGCAATGACTCACCTCCATGAAGCCACACCAGGGGAATTGCTCAACTTTGCTTGGAAAGACTCAGCAATGCCCCCCAGATATGCCTGGACTTGTGCTCCTCAAGCACATGGACTGAGGATATAAAACAAACAGAGTGGACGCATACTGGGCTCTTCCCTTGCCCCCACCTTCACTGCAAGCAACCAGGACACTGAGAAGAAGACAAGACTCCAACACAGGAGATTGGCCAGGGTTTAAGGAACAAACCTGTATATTAAGGACTGCAATATCCAGTGGGGTGAGAAAAACTGCTTAATCTAGATGTTGCCCAGTCTAATAGGGTTGAGAGTTTAGGCTGCGTACTTATATTTTCTTTTCTTTTGGAACCACTCTGACTTTTTGCCCATCACTTATAATCGCTTAAAATCTGTCTTTGTAGTTAATAAATTCTTTTGTTTATTGTACCTGAAGCAGTGTGTTTGGTTTGAAGCATGTCAGAGACTCCCCTTGGGATAACAAGCCTGGTACATATTGATTTCTTTGTTAAATTGACAAACTCATATAAGCTTGCAGCGTCCAGCGAGCATAACTGGACACTGCAAGATGGAGGTTCCTAGGATGTGTCTGGGGCCGGAGATATTGGCTAGTGTCATTCGGTTGCACAATCCAAGGAGCAGCTTACATGCTAGAGGCTATGCGTGAACAGCCCAGGAGTGGGGGTTCTCACAGCAGAGCAGGGTAAGGCTGGCTTCCAGAGTCAAGGATGAGAGTGACCGGTCCAGATAACACCAGGGGAATGTCACGGCATCCATGGTCAGGTTGCCCCCAGCCTGCTGCTATGGGACTGATGGAACCTAGCTGCTTGCACGAGTCTCTCCCCAAAAGCAGTAAAATAATAAGGTTCCCTCAGCCATTCTTTAATTGATTGGGGCAGCTAAAGTGCCGAGTGATAGTCTTTTTGCACAGGCCAAGAAGAGCTGAAAAAAAAGACTGCAGTGTTGACAGACTAACTCCCTATAGTCCTAATAAGACCTCCAGAAGAATAGTCTTCTGATACATTTCACATAAGAATTTTAACTACATAGCCACCAAACATTTTCAGGTTAGGTCAATCATTCTGTCATTTTTACAAACTGCCTTTGTTTTCTCTGTCCTTTTACTTTTGCCTTTTCATTTGCTCTCCTCCTGCTGCTGCCGCCCCTATCTCCATTTTAAAATGTAAACCTGGTGTGTTTTTACATGGTGACAGAGAGGGAACATGTATGTTCAGTGTGACAGGTTGTATATACTAAATGCCTGTTTGTACTTGAGGAGAAATGACGTGATTCATCCCAAGAGCAAGGATGATGACCTTTAGCCTGCCTGGATTTCTTACAATCCTTCCGTCCTCTTCCCTTTCCTGTGAGGTTAAAGCACTACTGATGATGATTAAAAGAGTTGCAGTTTCTTTTTTTTAATGGGTTTTTGAGTTATTTTTGCAGGGAGGGGGAGGATAGAAAAGGTTAGTTGTGTTTTTAAACATTTCTTCACCTTGGCAGTCATATGATGTCCACCAAAAATCAGATGTGGCAGCATTTTACTTTTCAATGCAATGTGAAAACTTTAAAAAAAAAAAAATTCTTTCTGTTCACAGCTAACAAATGCAAAGCATTCAGAAACAGATTTTAGGAGAATGAAATGTGTGTCCCCTTCGTCCTGGTAGTTCACTTTAAAGAGTGTCATGACTGAAGGTGTATATAGTGCTAGTGAAAGGTACTAGATTTGCAGCACTGAAAAGTAAGCCCTCTGTTCACAAGCAGAGTATCGCAGCATGTTGCTGCAGGGATGCACCTCAGTCTTGACTTCAATGGACTACCTCTAGGATTTAGGGGTTCCACAGTTCCACATCCATGACCATTGATTCCTGCGCACCTCTGCTGAGTGCCAGCTGGAATGCTAGTTAGGGTGATGGCTATTGTGATTTGCTCACCTGTTCACTGTGACCTTGACTAGGCCACACCTGACATCAAAAAGTAAGAAGCTTTTGCTCAACACTGACTTGGTCTAAGTAAAGTTCTTGAACAGATTTGCCAGTGCTTTAGGCACACAACATGCCCCCATACACTGTCTGCTGATGATCTGCACTTTGTGCCTTCCTCGCTCGGACTCTAGTTTTATAGAGTGACAAGTAGAATCGTTTGCTTGAGTTGCGTGTTTTTATTTTCAGGGATGGGGGGAAACAGCTGAGAGGCTGGGGCAGGCTGAGATTGAAGTGCTTTTGCTCACTTTAGCATGTGAAGAGTCACGCAGAAGATTAAATGTAATGAGAGAATGCAGTCACTAGGCTTATTGGGTGGGGTCATTCTCCCTGGCCCTATACACAATCTCACAAAAATTGTGGCCTTAAGACACCATTTATTTCTATACTACAATCTCACCCCCGCAGTATACAGGGGCTGTAAATGTGTTGCAAGGGGCTGAGGAAGAATTTCCCCAGAGCGGGAGGCAGAGCTGTCATGCACATTGCTATGACCATTCTGTCTTGCTTTGCAAGCCATAGGCAGCCTCAGGAAGTTGCTGTTACTTAGAGCTGTGATGACCCAGGCCTGCTAAGTTACACAGGCAGGCCACACTGGCCCATGGAGCATCCCAGAATTAGGAAGCGCAGGGGTCGTTGTGTGATCTGTGCTGTGGGACAGAATCTCAGCCATTCAGCATAGGAATGAGAAGCGGTTGGAGGAGACTTGATTGTGGTATCAAGGGCCTGCTGAAAACTGTACTGAGAATTTGGTGATATTCAGTGGAATTAAAAACCAGTGGGCCTGATTCACCCTAACGGCAGAACCCAGGCTGCAGGTGGCAAGTTTGCTTGGAGTTGGGGTGCAATGATGCAAGCTACTTGGAATCCCCACTTTGCTGTCTCCTGGAAGGAATGCATTGATTGGCTTAGCTGCTCCGCTGGCAGGAATGTGTGTGCACAAATTGCACCCTCTTAGACTAGCAGGGATGATTCAAGCCCAAAATATGTAAACTAATAAAAGGAAATATGCTAAAGAAGAATTTCCTGTTATTCTAAATGATTGTGTAGCATATGGACAGTCTGTGGGATTCACTATTGCAGGAAGTTAGAGGCAAATGCTACAGCTGGATTTTTTAAAAGGCTGGATTTTTCTGTGATACTAATAGATGTGTATTTGCTGTCCGAGACAAGAGAGGAAGATTGGTCTGGTAGCTAAAGCCCAGAACCGGGAGTAAAAAGAACTGGCTTCTAGTCCTAGCTCCCTACCTCTGTGACCACAGCACCTCACTGTTATCTTGTGCTGAAGACTGTGTTGGAATTGCAAGTTATTGCCGTGGGGTGGGGTGAATTAGAGTTTGCTGGCCCTGCTTAAAGGCTTGAGTTCTCTGTAACAAAGCATGACAGCAGAGTCATTCTGTTAAGAGTCAGTTTAAAGCAAGGTGGGATGAATTGTGCCTCACAGCCTTTGGGAGCAGCCTGTTTTCTCTCTCTCTCTCTTGTTGGAGTCTTGTGTGCAATTGGCTTGAAATCTCAACTCAAACAGCTTAATGGGACCAAATCAGGGGGCCTGGGTAATCTCCATCCAAGAATATTAAGGGAACTGGCACATGAAATTGCAAGCCCAATAGCTTTTTAATGAATCAGTAAACTCAGGGTTAGTACCCTATGACTGGAGAATTGGTAATATAGTACCTATTTTTAAGAAAGGGAAAAAAGTGATCTTGGAAACTACAGGCCTGTTAGTTTGACCTCAATTGTATGCAAGGTCTTGGAACAAATTTTGAACGAGAAGGTAGTTGGGGGAAAAAATATGGTTTTATAAAAGGTAGATCATGCCAGACCAAGAAGATAACTGATATTGCAGATAAGGGAAATGCTGTAGATCAAATCTGCCTGGATTTCAGTAAAACATTTGATACAATGGGAAATTATTAGTTAAATCGGAGAAGATGGGAATTAATATGAGAACTGAAAGGTGGATAAGGAACTGGTTAAAGGGGAGACCACAGCGGGTCATGCTGAAAGGTGAACTGTCAGGCTTGAGGGAGGTTTCTGGTGGAGTTCCTCAGGTATCAGTCTTGGCACTAATCTTATTTAACATTTTCATTCATGATCTTTGCATAAAAAGTGGGAGTGTGCTAATAAAATTTGCAGATGACATAAATTTCTGAGGTATTGCCAATATGGAGGAGGACAGGAATATCATACAAGAAGATCTGGAAGACCTTGAAAACTGGAGTAATAGCAATGGGATGAAATTTAATAGTGCAAAATGCAAGGTCATGCATTTAGGAACTGACAACAAGAATTTTTGCTATGAGCTGGGGACGTATCAGTTGGACGTGACAGAGGAAGAGAAAGACCTGGCTGTATTGGTTGATTACAGAATGACTATGAGTCGCCAAAGTGATATGGCGTGAAAAAAGGCTAATGCAGTCCTAGGATGCATCAGATGAGGTATTTAGTAGAAATAGGGAAGTGTTATTGCCATTATGCAAGGCACTGGTGAAACCTCATCTAGAATACCGTGTGCAATTCTGGTCTCCCATGTTTAAGAAAGATGAATTCAAACTGGAACAGGTGTACAGAAGGGCTACTAGGATGATCAGAGGAATGGAAAACCTATCTTACAAGAGGAGACTAAAGGAGTGTGGCTTGTTTAACCTGACTAAAAGAAGGCTGAGGGGAAATATGATTGCGCTCTATAAATACATCAGAGGGATAAATACCAAGGAGGGAGAGGAGTTATATAAGTTAAGCGCCAATGTTGGCACAAGGACAAATGGATATAAACTGGCCATCAACAAGTTTAGGCTTGAAATTCGATGAAGATGTCTAACAATCAGCAGAGTGAAGTTCTGGAACAGCCTCCCAAAAGGAGCAGTGAGGACAAAAAGCCTCAGTGGGTTCAAGAGCTTGATTAAAATTTATGAATGGGATGGTATGATGAGACTGCCTACAATGGCATGTAGTTGATCTGAGACTGCTAGCAGCAAATATCTGCAATGGCCAGAGATGGGACTGCGGATGGGGAGGGATTTGAGTTACTACAGAGAATTCTTTCCTGGATGTCTGGCTGGTCAGTCTCACTCACATGATCAGGGTTTAACTGAATGGCATGTTTGGGGTTGGGAAGGAATTTCCCCCCAGGTGAGATTGGCAGAGACCCGGGGGTAGGGATGCCAACTCTCTACTGGCACAAAACTGAACACCCTTGCCCCGCCCCTCCTCTGAGGCCCTACCCATGCCCCCACCCCTTCTCTGAGGTTCCAGCTCTGCTCACTCCATTCCCCCCTCCCTGTGTTGCTCAGTCTCCTCATCCTCACTCACTCACTCATTTTCACCGGGGTGGCTCAGGGTGTGGGGTGTGGAGTGAGGGCTCCGGCTGGGGGTGCGGGCTCTGGGGTGGAGCCAGGGATGAGGGGTTTGGGGTGCAGGAGGGGATTCTGGGCTGGGGGTGGAGCT